ACGGAGCTCAGTTTTAGAAAGTTGATATATTTAGTACCATACTACCTATAACTATAGTAGATTAATACAAGGTTAACCGCGAAACAGCACAGGGTGGGTTAGGATGTGATTTAGCCTGTTCATGGATGGTACTTGAAAGTGCAAGCTACCGTCCACACCCCTTAGCATCGGCTTTAGCAGAATTCAAATTGAATAATTGTTTGTCTCTGAGCAATATTGTAAATAAAATAGAAGAAAAACAACACTTTATTATTTACCAGTTAGTTCAGAAAACTGAAACGTATTATTAAAGTGACATTATGCTCATATTTTCATAGTCAATATGAGCTAAATTGACTTAACATTTCAAAAGATTGACAATTTAAATGGTGTTTGACAAATAGTTTATATTGGAAAATGTTTAGGGTAAAATTTAAAATCTGCCTAAAATATAAAAAGACTGCCCCACTCTTTTTATAAACTGAACGTTACAGGTAAATTCTAAATGATATTTACAGAAATTTCGTTTGGATACGGGGGTTATTTAGTGTTTATGCGAAGTAAATTATTAAATCAGAAGGATTTATGGCAAAATGAAAATCTATTTGGACTCTCACATGTTCACTCACTCTCACCTTTAGATGGGCATCATGTCACTTTAAATGTTTATGTTGATAAATTAGTTTTCTCTTTTTCAGTTTTCATAGTTATCCAGCAATATTGAGTTTACTACTGTAATTCAGCTCAATGTATGAGAAAAAACAGTGTACTCTCTCAAAAGATCTGCAAGAGACGAGAAGCAAGGGCAACCAGTTTTACTAGCCATGTTTCTGTACATAACAAATCAAAGTCAAATTCTAATCAACGTTTATCTTCACCAGCAACTCCAGTACATTCCCAATATTCAATCACGTCGAGTTCACACATTTTAGAACCAAGTGAAACAGCATATTTTACCAGTTCTCTAAATGAAGGATATGGGAACGTCGAAGAAGTTTCTGAAAACTTTTCTTTTGACACAAACGTTCTTAATGAAAATGACGAAGAAGAAATTTTTATAGCAACCCCTTTAGAACTGGGTTATTTTCCTGCTTCTGATACAAATGATAAAGAATTTGATTTTGATTCATCTAAAACCTGTTTTTCAACATTAGATTCAATAGAAACATATACTTCTCCTTATCATTCCAAGCTTTCTAGTAACTCTGACAGTGACTCAGATACAGAGGTTATATTTGAGATATTTCCTGATACTTCATCCGACGAAGATTACTCTTCCGTAACTTCACCGAAGTATAATGATAAAGAACCATTAACATACGGAAATTTGCCCAACTTTGACGAACTTGAACCAGTAAAGAAGGAAAAAGAATTGTTTAAGCCTCCGGTAAATCCGTTAGTTTCTAAAAGAATCCCAACAGCAACATCAACTTTTTCGTTAGAATCAAACGAAGAAGAATCATCATATATCTCTGACAAATCGCATTCTTCAGTTAAAGACGGTCATAAGAAAGTGAAACGTGAAACATCAATAACAGCAGACGAAAAGAAGACTGCAACATTTTGTTCAACAAATATTCAGACAGCGTTGTTAAGTAAAATAACACCAGATAGAAAAAGTAAGAAAGTACACAACAGTCCTTTCGACGAGTTTCTGAAAATGCAATTACAAAGGAAAGCTCTACATACAGAAGTACCTGGGTCTAAATCAGGACATGACAGGGATATAGAAGTGGACCTTGAAAACTTTGAGACTGAGGTTGGCAAAGCGTTTGAAGAGTCAGTGAGTGAAGGATCGTTAATGCCATTACTAAAACAGGAACTTCAATGTAAAATACAGGTCAGGCGTTTATCAATGGGACAATCTGAGTTAGTGCTTGAACCTGAAGAGCCGAAGGTTTATAAAGTAAGTACAGAGAGAACTTTTAAGAACAACATCCAACTTGAATAAGGCAGACACAATATATGAATTTTAAAGTGGATTACTTTTCACTGACTCTGGATTTATATGATGTTTCAGTTATTATTGCAATGGAATATTTTTGAATACAGTGTCTGTATTATTTATAAACAATTCAAGAGTGGTTGAAGTAATTGAAATGTATTCAAACTACCGGTATTATACTTTACGCATTTCACTCTTGCTATATATATATATATATATATATATATATATATATATATATATATATATATTATATATATATATATATATATATTATATATATATATATATATATATATATATATTATATATATTTATGTTAGAAGTGGTACTGATAATGATGGTGAGTCTTTCATTTTTAGATGCAGACTCTTAGTAAAATAAAATCGAGACTTTTTTATCATTAGCAATTTAAAGATCAATGCTTGTAGATTGTTATAACTCGATACAACCAACTTGTTTCTGTTTCTGTAAATTTTGTTATTTCAACATTTCTTATTAATTGATATTAATTAGAATTCTATTTCGATTTCTTGTAGCTTACAGAAGATGAAATAAAAAAGAAACAAGCACGCCTAGAACAAAACCGTAGATCGGCAAAAAAATCGAGACACAAAGCAAGAAAACATGAACAGAATCTTTTAAATGTAAGTTTTTATTACAAATATAAGCAGTATCGCGTTCTACTTTTAGTTTAAACATTATTTATTTAAGCTTTATCATGAAAAAAAGATATATTTGGACTACTCTTTAGTGTATTTCCTGAAAAGCCAGCTTTGGTAACATATGAAGAAACATGTACATGTATGTCACCCAAGTGCTTTTTATATAAGGATACATTAAATTGAAATGACAGATAATTGAGTACATCTATTTTAGATTGAAGTAATATTTCTTATTAGCTAACACGTATGTTGATTTTTAGAATTCTTTTACTGCAATGAACATGTTAACATATTAAATATACAAATGTTCTGTTTCTGTTTTTAGCACATCAAAAAGGCAATGACAAAAAATACAAAACTGCGAAAAGAAGTTTCAAAACTGCAGACGATAAGAGACAAGTATAAAAAGACGTTTGATCTTCACATGATGTCCTGTACAGCAACAAGTTCTTCAACGCCGCCATAGCCGAGTGTCAGATTATCATAGCTTCAGCTGGCTGAAAACTTTGGCATAGAGAAAGTTTTAATGGGCATTACTTTAACACGCTTGATTTATCCAACAATTTTAAAGATATGTATACTATTTTCACACGTACTGTGAATACTTTAAACATGTCACTACTATTTGACCGTGCACATGCTTTTCGTTTATTTTTTTAATATTTTCTCTCTCAAAAAAGGCTTTTTAGATGTGGTTTGTTGGACGAAAAAATAACAAAGAGTGTTAGAACTATGTACGTAATAAAAGTGGTTGATTTACTGGTTTACGCATTAAATGTCAACAGATGTATTGTATTCCGTTCAAAATAATAGATAATAAATACGTTTTTAAGGAACCAGCTCTGAAAACTGGTCATGACTGGTACCTGAAACTTGTATGTGATGCAGTACATTTGATTGTATATACAAATGTAAATATAAAGTAGGGTTTTTCTAAAGAAGATTGTAAAACGAAACATCTCTTATAGATATTGAGTAATTTGTACAATTGATTGATCAAAACAATGAACAGATAAATCATGTTTACGTCCCTTTTCTATCTATGAATTTAGTAAATGTAAGAATCTGTATCCAAATATCTCATTCTTTTCATTGCTTTCATATTTCAGTCCATAAATTGTAACACTAATTTTTAAGTACTGACTGCTTCAAGAGATATTAATAAAAATACATTGACGATGTATGTTGCTGGTCACAACTTTGTTCCCGTATTGATTCCAATTCAATAAGTGCTTTATTATCGAAATTATCTAAATCTTTAACCGTTTGTTATTCAATTTTTTAAATATCTTTTATCTCGTGCACATATTACCTCAGTCTTTTTGACAATAAACTGGTTTATTATATGTGATTACAATGAATTAAATTGTGTTTTCTTGTATTATCAGGGAGCTAGGACTAAACTGGCATGTAAGAATTCTCACATAATATTTTTTTTCCCCTGAAATACCAAAAATACCCCATTAAGAACACACACACAAACAAAAAGAACCCAACAACAATGTATCTATAAAACAACGAAAATCTATTACCTTCAACCTCTTGAAAGGGTTGATGCTCTCTCGTGTTATCGTGAAATATGGTGTTTTGGAAAACGAAGTTAAATGCATGGACGGCAACTGAAAATGAATACTTTTCTATGCAGATTTTTATTTCAACAGAAAAAGAGAAATTTTAAGACATTAAAAGGCTATTGTATAACCAAAAACAAGTGTTAAAAAGCTCGTCCATTACGAATACATTAAGAAATGTACAGAATGTGACATTGGAAAAATAGAAATAACAACATAATGAACGGCCTTGATATTTGTAAACATTTCTAATATAAATTTGGCACGTTCAATGTTGAGGTTGTTTTGTTTTGTTAGTTCTTAAATGCCCTCACCATGTGAATCTGCGCGTATATTTAATTATACGACTTGATTATAGGCGCGACTGTTCAATGTTCTTCGGTAAAATATTGTAAGAAGTCGCACTGTAAATTGGTGTTAATTAATTCAACAATTTCTTAATGCCAGCACGTTCTTTAATGTCAGACTATCGTATTGCAACATGGGCAGCGATTGGCTGAAAAAACGTGCAGGAAAGCTCGTAAGATTCAATGAGACATAAGATGATTGGATGAAAATGAGATGATTTTAAGTATGAAAACTAATTTAGAAACTTACACTATATAAATAAAATATTTCATAAGTATCTATGGTAATCTGTAACTTAGATATTTGCATTTATAAATCAAAGCACAGAAGGCGCTGAATTTGTTGTCAGAAAGGTGAAGGTTGTGAGATTATAAAACAATTTGTTTTTGTATAGTGCCACCAATGCTTTCCAGCGTTTTAATTGTAGTAGATTGGCTATAAGACTAATTGCAACACTGATATTCGATCCAATGTTTATTTAACTTAAACAATTTGAAAAAAAAATGAGTTGCCTTAACTGGGATTTGAACTCCAGACCTCTCGCTTCCTAAGCGAGCGGTCATACCCCTCGGCCACGGTGAATTTACATGTTAACAACCTGAAGAAAACCATATTATTCTAGTTAGGGTTTGTAACGACGCTAACTGTTGTTTAACACTTGTGTAAATAATCATGGCGCTTACTTTAAGCATGTATATCTATAAAGAATAAAACAATATTAGAAATCTTCGACTATTCGGGAATTATTTTGCTTGAAAATTATTCCGCCTGTCATGTGACCATATTTACGCAGTGATCTCCCCTAAATTTTTCGGCCTAAGTGTTACATATAAAGAGAAGTAACCGTTTCAAAAAAGCGGACTACTTTCGGCACTTGCAATTAACAGCAGTAGAGTCTGAAATTTCGCTACCATTATTTGTTTGGTCTGACGACCCAAACAAATAAAAATGTATGTCAGTCCTGTGATCAGCAGAAAACTTCAATGAACAATGGGTGGGCGGGGATGTAATCCTTTTTGAAGTCATTTTGAAAAAAAAAATGGCAACCCCTGTCATTTTTATGTGTCAACTATTTCATTTTCCTAGCAAAATCACAACTTAGCACGAAAACTCAAATTTAAGGGAGGATAATCGACCAGTTCTCATAATGTAAGTCTATGGAAAAATCACTTCGTGAGTCTGACAGATAAGATACGTTGTATAACACGGTGCCTGTCATATGATGAAAATGCAACAGTTCTTACAATTATATACTAAGACCAATGCGCTATATCTTACTCCCTAATATATTCTTCTCATACAATGAATTTATAATTATAAAAGCCGTCTTACAGCAATATTTGTTTATTTACATCCCTGGGTTTCCTATATTCTAAATATAGCATAATTTATATCATATTACAGGGAAACCATATACATGTACATAATATTATACAGTGTCACTGGTGTTGCAAAATAGTTATTTACATGTACGCTTTCTTTCCGTGGACTTATAAAAAAAAAGATTAAAGGTACGTGGCGGCTATTTTTTGAACTATTATTCTACGCATGTCCGGAACATCATATGTCTCCATTGGTTATGCGCCATATTGTACATTTCATAAAACTAAATAATTCTGCAGGCAAATAGAGCTTCAAATAGAGCTGCATTTCAAGGTAATTTAATTAGTATTATAAAAAAAAGGTAATTTGCAGGACATATTGTTTCAAGTTTCATCTTTATTGTGCATGAAAGCAATAACTTATCATCATAAGATATAAAATGTCCGGACGAAAATCACAAAAAAATGTTTCTTGCATAATGCATGTATGCAGTAATTAAGAAATGTGTTTTCTAATAATATCTATCATTATTTGTTTTGCAAAAGTTTTATAAAATACTCCAAAAGACAGTATAAAATAATGCTAGCTGTATGATCATGTACTATTGCTTTAACAGCATAAACAATGACAGCTTGCAATCCAATTAACTGATGAATTTCAATGCTGGTATGGAATAACTTATGATCTTGAAATATTAGAATTGCTTTTCTCCATTTCTTTACAAAGAAAAATGATAGGGAAGTATCGGCTAAACCTGTAACCTGTAACATGGAAGCTAAAGCTATTGATAAAACTCACCAGATGAACAAAGAAATTAAATAAAATAAATATATATATATATATATATATATATATATATATATATATATATATATATATATATATATATATATATATATATATATATATATATATATATATATATATATATATATATATATATATATATATATAAACTTGAAAATGGGGTTATCCCTCAGAATTAATAAACAACAAAATCATATGAAAATGAAGGATTTCTTTTGATCAGATCTGATAAAAAAACATTAGATGTTTGAGGCATTTAGCTTTTTTGCATGGTTTCTCTAAAGCCAGCTTTGAAGACCGAACTGAATTATAGTATTTTAAATTGATATCTATATTTTCTTCTCTTTTTTCATACTTGACCAACAATTGGATATTACACCATACAATTAATGAGAACACCCAGCGAAAGCAGAATACTAAAATACCACAACAAGAAGCAGAGAGGAGAGGCAGGGAAAGCCAATTCGTATCACAGAACACCGTCAAATTATGAAAATAGTGCCACATCAACACCAGCTCCAATATATCCCCAATATTCAATCACGGCGAGTTCACACGTTTTAGAACCAAGTGAGAGAGCGTATTATACATGTCCTCTAGATGAAGGATATGGAAATGTCGAAGAAGTTTCTGAAAACTATTTTGACACGAACGTTCTTATTGAAAATGAAGAAGAAGAAGAAGAAGAAGACGAAGAAATTCTTATTGCAACTCCTCTTGAATTGAATTATTTCGAGGTTCGTGACAATAATAGCAATGTCTTTAATTCTTCTTCACATAAATCTTCTACTACAAAATCAGATTATATATATACATATTCTTTTAGTGATTCTGACAGTGACTCGGATACAGAGGAGTTATTTGACTTATTTTCTGACTCTTCATACGACGAAGGATACTCTTCCCTAATTTCACCTAAGTCATACGATTTTAAACTATCGCCAGGCGGAAATTTGCCCAACTTCGAGGAAATTGAGCCAGTTAAGAAGGATAATAAGTTGCTTAAACCTCCGGTAAATCCGCTAGTTTCTAAAATAACTCCAACAGCAACAGCAACTTATTCGTCAGAATCAAATAATAAAGAATCATCATTTATTTTTGACAAATCGCATTATTCCGTTACAGATAAAGACGACCATAAGAAAGAGAAAAGTGAGAAGCCAGTAACGGCCTATGGAAAAGAGACTGCAACATTTTGTTCAACAAATATTCAGACAGCATTATTAAGTAAAATAACACCAGATAGAAAAAGTAAAAAAATACAAATCAGTCCTTTTGACGACTTTCTTAATATGCAATCACAAAGGAAAACTGTACATACAGAAGTACCTGGGTCTAAATCAGGACATGACAAAGATATAGACGTGGACCTTGAAAACTTTGAGACCGAGGTTGGTAAAGCGTTTGAAGAGTCAGTGAGTGAAGGATCGTTAATGCCATTACTAAAACAGGAACTTCAATGTAAAATACAGGTCAGGCGTTTATCAATGGGACAATCTGAGTTAGTGCTTGAACCTGAAGAGCCGAAGGTATATAAAGTAAGTAAAGAGAAAAACAACAACTATGAGCAACAAAAGCATTGAATACGGCGTAGAAATTAGTGAAATTCGAAGTGCAATACATTCTACTAAAATTGGCTCTTGATATGCTCTTTCAGACATTGCATGGACTCTTTATGTGTTTTAAGTATAGATTATTTAAGATTGGTTCAAGTAGAATAACGTATTCAAAAGTTTATATATTCCTCATTCCATTCACATTTGAAAACTGCAATAGTTTGTTACGTAATTATTTTTTATTTTGTTGTAAGTGTTAGTGGTGATTCATTTTTAATGGAGAGGGAGACGTTGTGGTAAATAAAAATTATATGAAGTAAATCAAATTTAACCAAAGCAAAGAAGGCGCTGAATTTGTTTGGGTCTCAGAATGTCAGAAAGGTGAAGGTTGTGAGATTATAAACCAATTTGTTTTTGTATAGTGCCACCAATGCTTTCCAGTGTTTTAGCTGTAATAAATTGGCTATAAGACTTATTGCAACACTGATAGTCAATTCAATGTTTATTTGACTTAAAAAAAATTAAAAAAAAGAGTTGCCTCAACTGGGATTTGAACTCCAGACCTCTCGATTCATAAGCGAGCGGCCACGGTGAAGTCATTTGTTAACGACCTGAAGAAAACCATATTATTCTAAATTAGGGTTTGTAACTCTTATTATTTCGACGCTAAACCTGTTGTTTAACACAGATGTAAATAATCATGGAGCTTACTGTAAGCATGTATATCTATAAAGAATGAAACAATACTAGAAATCTTCGACCATTCGGGAACTACTTTGCTTGAAAATTAATGCGCCTGTCATTTGACAATCTTTACGCATTGATCTCCCCTGAATTTTTCAGCGTTAGTATACATATGAAGGGAAGTAACCGCTTCAAAAAAGTGGACTACTTTAGGCATTTGTAATTAACAGCATTAGGCTCTGAAATTTCGCTACCATTATTTGTTTGGTCTGACGACCCAAACAAATAAAAACTAATCTTTTTTTCATTTTCGTCCTTATTCGCAATTACATTTTACTAGCAATTGTACAATTGCTGCATGTATGAAGGATGTGCAAAGGTTTTGATGTTAAAGTCGATACAAACAAAATCGTGATTCAATTAATTTGTTATCATCATTTCTGATAACAACGACGTTTCAATTTCTTATAGCTTACTGAAGATGAAATAAGAAAGAAACAGGCACGTCTTGAACAAAACCGTAGATCGGCAATGAAATCTAGACATAAAGCAAGGAAATATGAACAGAATCTGTTAAAGGTAAGTTTGTATTACAAATATAAACAGTTTTATACTTGAATATATTCTTCACTTTTTTTTGTTTAAGCATTATTTATTTTAGATCGATTTTGAAAAGAGCAGGTAACATATTCAAACCACTCTTAAGGGCGTTCTGGAAAATGATGGTATCATATGAAGAGACATTGTCGTAACAAAAAAGAAATAACAAATTGTGCATTTGTGCAATTAAACATGAAAATCGTAAATTAAACACGTTATATATCTATTCAAAAGTTTGCATTCTTATTTTTTTTGTATTTTTTATAACTATAGTCATGGCGTAAAATGTATTTTTAGATAATTTCCAGTGCATATAGAATGTTATTGTAACTGATACTACTGTAAATTGAATTTGCTAACATGTTAACTTTTCACATAACATATTTGTGATTTTATCAGGAAATCTATAAGGACATGACAAAATTCGTAAAACTGAGGAAAGAAGTTTCAAAATTGCAGTCGTTGAGAGACGAGTATAAAAAGAAATTTGATCTTCACATGATGTCTTGTACAGCAACAAGTTCAAGCAATTAGTAGCTTCAGTCTCGTCATAGCTTACAGCTAGAAAATATGATGAAATATTTATATAGATGAAGTGTTAATAGACATTATTATGGTTTCTATTTGATTAATCAATCAGTTTTTAATATGATATGTATGGAATGTATCCTGATTATACAAAAACGTTAATGTACGAATTTTAATATTTTATAGAGATATATGTATATGTTTAATTGAACTTTTTTCTGTTGATAACCACCTGTCATAAATAAAAATAAACTTTGATCCTGCATTGATTATTGCCTCATTATTTAATCAAGTTGAATAATCTTCATGCAACAGCTTTTTGTTCACCTAATGACATCTGATAAAATTCGTTAACATACAACTCAATATAACAATGAACTGATATATTAATATTAATTCAAATAGTGGTACATTTTCTAACAAAGCTGTTATTTACCCAGATATTTTGATAATGTATCTAAGCATTGGAAATTTGTGAGAAATAAAATCTTTGACCTTATATATCGTAAGCCTTATATTTGTAATTGAAATAAATAATCTTATATGTATAATTCTATTTTAATACTTTAACATTAAAACATAAAATATTATTTAAGTAAAATGTTGTTGTTATTTGTATTCAAAAACTGTCCAATACAAAATGAAAATAGGTATCAGTTTCGTTCATTTTAATATAACCACCCACATTATAATTATACAGTTTTAAGGGTCCTTGCTTTTTATTTGTAAAAATGAACAACAATGTATGTTGTAACTGTGATACTTGATTGTTAGAAATATACATAAGGATATTTTTTATCATTAGAATTTTGTTCATTTAATCACAATTCAAAAATCAGATGGCAATTTGCTATGAATTCTATGCACCGGACGCCCGACAAAAATAAACGAATGGAACTGACTAAAGATGGTCTGATACCTTTATAGGTATTTTTACATTTAGAAAAATTCCATGTACATGTACTCTATTGTCAATCTTTGACTGGAGTCCATGTAAGTATGACATATCGACGGATACGAAATCTTCTCCGATTTTTTTTTTTTTTTTGGTGTAATTCCCTTCATTGAATGTCGCCCTTCTTTGTTGATCTTGTTTTTCATATTTTATCTAAACCAGGCAGAGATAGGTAGGACCATTGGAATGCTTCAAGCTAGGTGTTTCCTAGGTGTGTCCCAAGAATGTGGTATCGATTCCTTACAAGTGAAAATGTGTTACTTTTTATGGAGTATTTTCATTGGTCTGCGATTTTCACAGCATATAAAAATAAATGAGTTCCTCATTATTTAATCAAGTTGAATAATCTTCATGCAACAGTTCACCTTGTGTCATCTTCTAAAATTCGTTTACATACTTCATTTTTAACCGCCTTCCGTGGTCGAAGGGTTAGAGTCGATGACTTCTATGGATTAGTTACCTCTCTGGCGTGGGTTCGATCCAATGCAAAAAAATACATTCATTTCAATTAGATTGCCATTAAGTGGGATAAGCTTTGCAAAAACATTTCTGTTGTCCCTCACTAGTGGACACTTCGAGATTACATATCTAATTATTACTTGGAATCATTGAAATGATTGCTTTATTTCCTTTAAAAGTGTATAATCAATTTCCTAACATTTGGTTGAAAGATTTTGAAATTTGGTAAAAAATGTGTTGGATTTACTGAGTTCACATTAAAATCTGGATAGAAAGTGATCCCTCGGAAGCATTAATAACAACACAATTACATAAGAATTGCAGACTCGGTTTGATTGAGTCTGTACATGAGGGATACTGAATAAATGCAACATCCCTAACGCCCCCTAGCACCGGTTTGAGCGGTACTCAATTCTCAACCCTTAATAGTGCTGGTATCAATGATCCCGAAGGACCAGAAAAATATAACAACACTGAAGTGAAGTACGGGGTGATGAAGTGCTGAAAAATGAGCGGCGAGTTGCATACCTGTACTAAATATATATACACATAAATTTATATATATAATGTATCTTTTATTATTATTATTATTCTTATTATTCTTATTATTATTATTATTATTATTGCATATTTCCTTCCATATGGAAATCCGCTATAGTAATGCCTCTTTTTAAGAATGGTGATGCAAATTTAACTTCAAATTATCGTCCAATTTCATTATCAAGTTATATAGGAAAATTAATGGAAAGAATTGTTTATAAACATATCTACAATCATTTGATAGCTAATAATTTGATTTATTCGAACCAGTCGGGGTTCCTTCATGGTCATTTAGCGATTTTTCAACTATTAGATATATACCACCAAATAGTTAAATCTTTAGATGATACAACATTTACTTGTGTAGTTTTTGTGACATATCAAAAGCGTAGGTTTACTTCTGAAACTTCAGAAAAATGGTATCAAAGGTAACTTGTTGAAATGGATAGAAAGTATCTAATTAATAGAAGTCAAAAGGTCTTTGTAGGGTCTTGTTTATCACAACCACTGACTGTAAATGCAGGGTCCCCAATGCTCGGTGCTTGGACCACTGTTTTTTCTTTGTTTACGTTAATGATATTATAGAAATTTTGTTAAGTATAACTCGTTTATTTGCAGACGACACCTCTTTGTCTTGTACAACATCGTCAATATTTGATCAAGAAGGAATTATTAATCATGATTTAGCTTTGATAAACTTATGGTGTAGAAAATGGATTGTAGATTTTAATCCTAACAAAACAGAAGCGATTGTTTTTACTTAACAACCCAACGTTAACAAACCAAAATCGCAATTTGATGGCATACCCGTAAACTTTGTTAAAAGTCATAAACATTTAGGTTTAACATTTAGTTCTAATGGAAAAGGCACGATCATATTAAAAATATAACATTATCTGCTTCTGAATTATTAGGTACAATGAAAAAAACTGAAATATTAAATATTCCCTTAATGAGGAAACCCTAAACCAAATTTATACTTCATTTCTTAGACCTTTTTTAGAATATGCATCTGTAGTCTGGGAAGAGTGTACAAAATATGAAAAAAATACGCTAGGTAAAATACAGCATGAGGAAGCCAGAATCGTAAGCGGTCGACTAACCCATTTAGTTTCTATTCAAAATTTGTATAAAGAAATTAATTGGCTCTCACTATCTGATGGAAGAACGTACCAAAAATATATGAGCCGTGTCACGACAAAACCAAAAAAATGGGTTTGCGACCAGCATGGATCCAGACCAGCCTGCGCATCCGCGCAGTCTGATCAGGATCCATGCTGTTCGCTTACCAACCCTATTACAAGTAGAGAAACTGATAGCGAACAGCATGGATCCTGATCGGACTGCGCGGATGCGCAGGCTGGTCTGGATACACGCAAACGCACTATGTTGGTTTTGTCGTGGCATGGCTCTTATTTTAACATATAGAATTCATAATGGAGATGTTCCTGATTATTTAAGTAATATTTTCTCAGAAAGAGTTCATAATACAACACCATTTAATCTTAGAAACTCAGAGGACTTTGCAACTTTAAACAACTTTTCTTCTTCTTTGTGCCTTCGTCCGTGAAACAATTTGCAACCAGAAACAAGATCTGAAAATAAACTTTGTCATCTTTTAATTCTCTATTTAAATATTAACATTTCTGTCTATAGACACTCCAAAATGGTATATAACAGGTGAGAGAAAACTCTCTGTTTTACACTGTAGACTATGAAATGCATGCCATCACTTACATTTACACTTATTCTGCAATCATGCAAATTGTTTTTGTTGTTATGAGATAGAAGATGTTAACCACTTCTTTTGTTTTTTTGTCCGAAATATCGAAATGAGAGAATTGATCTTTTTAACGAATTAAGACAATTTCATTTACTTTTAGAAATTGTGTTTAGAAAATAAAACTAAAATGTTTTTGACTGTTCAGCGTTTCAAAAAGTAAGCAAACACTTTTGATTTTAAAATCAAACCAGCACAATCTCAATAAATATTAATATACTAGTTCGTTTAAACAACAGACGTATTCTTTTTTTCTTTTTTTTTCCTTCGATATTTTATTTTCTCAAAATCTATCTGATTCTTTTAGATTTTGTTATATTTTGCAATTAATTGTTTTCTAAGTCATTGAAACGTAAATCGCATAAAAATCTTTTAACATTTTTCAATACTATTTAAACTAGAGAACATGTATATCCAATAATTTTTTATTGTTCTTTCTTACCTAAAATATTTTTCTTTCTTTTTTTTTGAAAGCCAGATACTATATTATTTATAATTATTATTATTATTATTATTATTTTTATTATTATTATTATTTTTTATTATTATTATTATTATTATTATTATTATTGTTATTA